CTCCAGAGAAGCGTGGTTTACAGCATGGTTATATATTGTTGCAGAACAAACAACATATATCAAGCATGACAGGAATACAATTTTTTTTCTCAAAGTCACAAGGAGATGTTTTGCCGCACTTTAGCACATACATAGCAGGTCAACTTGACCTTGGTTTTCTGGGAAGAAAAGCTTATTTTCAAAGAAGTACTGGTGTTGGTGTCAGAGATCGGGGAGACATTCATCCCTATCTTTAAAGAGTGCATTCTTTGCTTTGGGAAAATGTTTGAAGCAGAGTTATAATGCATATTTGGTGGGCCATAAGTCAGGCTGCTCTCGAAAAAACAAGTTTTAGGCCAAATATGGCTTCCCCGTATACCTCAATACGTGAAAACTTCTTATTATTTTCATCAGCACAGCTGGAATCTTTCAGCCTCAGTTTGCATATCTGTATTATAAGGAAAATAATCTCAACCCCCTCTCAGCCATGGCCCTCGCTCAATCAGAGGGCCACACCAACCTCAGTCCCATTAGCCTTTCTCTTTAGCATGCCCTCCACGCTCAGGTAATAATAATAATAACAACAGCTGAAACTCAGTAAACACTGACCCCGTGCCAGGCACTGTCCTACAAGCTTCATGCAGAGTAACCCATTTAGTCCTCATAGTGACTTTACGAGGTTGATGCAATTATGCTCCCCACCTTTGCAGATGGGAACAGCTGAGGCACAGAGAAGTTCAGACACTTTCCCTACGTCACACAGCTGGTGTGTAAATTCACACAGCTAGTAAGTAGAAGAACCTGTGTTTGGATCCCCACAGTCTGGCCCCAGGGTCCAGGAACTCTTGACTGTCCAGTCATTGGGCCTCTCAGCTGAAAGCAACACTAGTTGTGCCATTGCTCATGGAGACTCAGCCAGTCCAGCAGGGCAGGACTTGGGCCTGCCTCACTCCCTGCTCTCTCCTCAAGGCCTAGCACAGTGCCCAGCAAACAAAAAGTGCTCAGTAAGTGCTATTTAATGAACAAACGGCTGTGCAAGACAAGCTGATGTGCCCTCTATTGACTTAAAAAGCCTCAAAATGAGTATTTGAGAATTGCCAAAAAAATGGCAATTCAGGATGTCCATGCTATGGCAAACCATAGGCAAATCTAGAAAACAAAGGAAGGGAACTGCTATTATAGAGAAAAAGAGGGGATAGGGAGGGGCTGTTCTAAAGGAAAGTCCACTGGGGGAAAGTAACAGTTCAGGGCAGCAATAGCATCTCATTGGCTGAGCTACAGTGTTTCTCATTGGCTGAGCTGTGGCATTTCTCACTGGCTGAGCTGGGGCATTTCTCATTGGCTGAGCTGTGGCATTTCTCACTGGCTGAGCTGGGGCATTTCTCATTGCCTGAGCTGTGGCATTTCTCACTGGCTGAGCTGGGGCATTTCTCATTGGCTGACCTGCGGCATTTCTCATTGGCTGAGCTGGGGCATTTCTCATTGGCTGAGCTGTGGCGTTTCTCATTGGCTGAGCTGCAGTGTTTCTCATTGGCTGGGCTGTTGCCAGGTGGGGACAGAAATCTTCCTTCAGTAGTAAAGTAGTTTTACTTTCTGTCCAAGATGCAAACAGCTGTCTCTTCCTTGTTGGTGTAACTGACGATGTGTGATAGGGCATGAGAGCTCCCCCTACAGGCCTTCCTGACTCCAGTTTAGTTAAGGTTTCCTGTATTAATTTCCACACAAAAAAAGATAAGAATCAAGATCAGAAATCTGAGTTGTCCCTTTAAAAACGGAAGTCAGCTTCCTATTAGTCAAGTATGGACTTGCCAGCTCTGGAAAAGTCTTAAGGCAAATACATTTTGCTGTATTTGCTTTTCTCTTATTCTTGACTCCCAAGGAGAGAAAGATAAGAACTTGCCTAATACTATCGAAACATGTAATTTTTTTTAACCCATTATACCTATTATAACTTTTATCCTTATGTTAGTTTCTAGACCAGCGCTGTCAAATAGAACTTTCTGTGATGATGGAAATGCCGTATATCTATGCTGCTAGCCTCCTGTGGCTACGGAGCACTTGAACTATGACTAGTGTGACCGAGGAACTGAACTTTTATATATTTTAAAATCTTAGTTTAAATGTAAATAGCTACGTCTGGCTAGTGGCTACCGTATTGCACAGAGCGGTTCTAGATGGAAACATCTGCTGAGACAAATTAAATCATAAAGTAATAATAAATGTAAAAATTAATGATGGTTGAAAAAAATTACAGTGGTGTAGTAACTAATTCAGCGGTAAGCTTCCTAGGCTGTTTCATTAAATTTATTGAATTCCAATACCATATAAGATGCTGAATGTATAATTTCAGGGGTAGGAAAGCAACTTCCTTGTTTTCTTTGGAATCTTCTAGACCTTTTTCTTTTTTTCCTTGAAAGGAGAGAACTATGCATTGCTTTTTAACTGGTCTTGTAGGATGAGGTCGAATCATGGCAGAACGGTTTGTGGTGAGATCGGTGTATTTGAATCCCGGTGCTGTGGCTGCGGGTCGGCTCTGACGGGGACTGGCGGAAGGAGCCCTGACCGCCTGCCAGGCAGAGGGGGCCCTAGCTCATAGCTGCTCATCCCCCTGCCCTATTAAAGTGGCTTTTGTGCAGTAATAATGAGGCCAGAGTGGCTGAGGCCAAGGTGGACGAGAGGGATAGAAGATGAAGTCCAAGAGCCTGACCACCCAGCCCAAGGCGAGGTGTGAACTCTTGGTTTTACTTGAAGTGTGGGGGAAAGTCCTGGGAAAGGTTTTCAAGCAGAGGAGGGGGTGATTTGATCAGAGTTTTGAAAATGCCCCTCTGGAGGCGTGCGGGGGACAGACCAGGGGGCCGAGGTGGAGACAGGGAGCCCAGTGAGAAGGTGGTTACAATAATCCAGGGGAGAGACGGTGGTGGCTCTGAGCAGGACGGTGGCCATGGGAGTGCGGAGAAGTGGTCAGATTCTGGACTCATTTTGAAGGTCGCTTCTAGGACTCGGGGATGGATTGCATGTGGAGAATGAAGAAAGAGAGAAGCCAAGGCTCAGCCCTGAGTGTTGGGAACTGAGCTATGGAATGGATGGTGGAGCCACTGATGTAGATGGGACCGAGGAGGGGCAGGTCGGGGGGAGTGAGAATCAAGTGTGGCTCCGGGGGCTAGTGTCAAAGGATACATGAGCCGTCCAAGGGGTCCTGTTGCTGCAGAGGCAGCTAAGTAGGTGGGTCTAGAGCCTGGAGATACAGAACTGGGAGTTATGAGCTTCGGGATGATGAAGGCCATGTGACTGGATGAGATCACCTTGGCAGAGCCTAGAGGTAGGAAAGAGGAGAGGAGAGCGCCTGGTCGGGCTCTGGAGCTCAGCAACATTTAGCACGGAGCAGAGGAGGAGAGGCAGGCAAAGGAGACTGCAGACGAGATGCCTGGGAGGAAGGAGGAAAGCCAGGAGTTTTCAGGGTGAGAGAAGCCAAGAGAGACTCGTGTTCCAGCAAGGGGGCAGGGCCGATGTACGGAATGCTGCAGAGAGCTCAAGTAAGACAGTAATAATAGCGAGGATTTGATATGTACCAGTCGTCCTTCCAAGCTTTGGATACAAATGATCTCATTTTAGCCTCACCAAGACCCTGTTAAATAGACATTACTACCCCCATTTTGCAGACAGAGAAAGTGAGGCTCAGTGAGGGGAAGTGACTTGCCCAGGGTCCCACAGCTAGTCAGAGGCAAAGCCAGGATTCAAAACTAGACTCCTTCCTGGATCTCCACTCCAGGGATGTGACTAGTGGATATCACTGCATACTCACACCTTGGTTCGGTCACTCATTCAGGATGTATTGAGCTGTTGCTCTGGGCCAGGTGCCATTCAAAGAATCAGGGATGCAGAAAAATATCTCTGACCTTGCGAGGCTTACATCTTAGGGAGGACAAACAGGCAATAAGGAAATCAGCAAATAGAGATGTGACATGCTTCAGGGGGTAAGTGCCATGGCCCAAAGCAGCTAGAGAGAGCTGAGGTCTCTGCTTAGATGGAATGGCTGGAGAAGCCCTTTATGAGGACGTGGTGTTTGAGCTGGGATGATAATTATAGTATAATGAACACTTCGAGAGCACTCACTATTTGTTGAATGAGTATTGTGGAATAATAGTAACATTATTTGTGCCAGGCAATGTTCTAAATGCTTTAATTCATTTCATCCATCCAGTCACAGAGATACTCTCAACATCATCATTTTACAAAGGAGATGGAGATCAGGGAAGTTGCTGGAAGCCACACAGCCAGGAAGTGGGGACTCCAGGGTCTCAGCCCAGGCCGTCTGGCTCCAGATGCTATGCCGGACCTGACTCTCCGTGCATGAAGGAATATTCAGTTCCCAGAAGGGGAAATTGGGGCACAAGGAGGTTAAGGAAGAAACTGAGGCACAGAGAGGTTAAGTCACAAGGTTAGGACGTGGTGGGGCCTGGACTCAAACCCCGGGCAATCTGGTTCCACAATCCGTGTGCTTTACTACCAGACCAGTGGCTCTCAGACTTGAGCCTGAGTTGGAATCCCCTGGAGGGCTTGTCAGAACAGATTGCTGGGCCCCGCCTCCAGAGTTTCTGACTCAGCAGGTCCGGGGTGGGCCTGAGAATATACATTTCTGTCAAGGTCTCAGCAGGTATTGCTGATGCTGGTGGTCCAGGGCCCACACTTTGAGAACCCTTGTCCTAGACTCTCAGCGCATGAAGGAATCAATACCCAGTTCCCAGTAGGTAACCTGAGGCTCAGAGAGGCTGTATGGTGTGCAAAACTCACACAGTTATTAGATGGCGGTGCCGGGATCTCAAACCCAGGCAATCCGCCTCCAGAGTCCGCGTTTTTAACCATTCCCCTGCACTGCCTCCTGCCGGTCAAAAGAATCAATGCGTGCAGGCATGCATGAATGGATTCTCCTTTCTCCAGAGAGGGAAACCGAGGTCCGGGAGCTAGGCGGGCGACCTCGGCGTCCTCTGACCTCTTTCCCCGCCGCCCTCCCCCGCCTGCAGGTGAAGCTGGTGTTCGTGGAGGACCAGGCGGTGGTGGAGACCGTGTTCTTCCTGACGTCCCGCACGCGGGCGCTGCTGCGGCGCTTCCCGCGCATGCTCCTGGTGGACCGGCTGCCCGGGCTGCAGGGCGCGCTGGACCTGCTGGCGGTGCTGTGCGTGGACGGCGCGGGCCGCGC